ACACGACCCAAACACAAGTTTAACTGAAACAAACGTTTCATAAGACAGCACTTGCTGTGATGCTTTCTGATATTTTCAATGATATTGTGTTCCTTTTCTTCAAAAAAAAAAAATGCTGGTTGGAACTTGCTATGACTCCCACCCCACAGATCAGGGCACAGAGACATACTACGCAGTGGGAGTGATCACAATCAACTGCTCTTTCGAGTGCTTTTAGTGGATTGACCACTTTTATCCTCCACAGCGACCCCACAAGGCAGCTGCTATCATCAGTGACCCCAAGGTAGTGGTGAAGGGAAGCAGACAAGGCAGAGAGACCTGCCCAGGTTCCCACAGCCACTAGTGGTGGAGCCGGCCCCTGAAGCCCCAGGCTCGGGGCTTTTGTCCAGGCCCTGGAGGGTGCCCCAGAGGAAAGAGCCCCTCACACTGGAATCCCATGACATGGACCCGCACTTGGTGACCCCCTGGCCAGCTAGGCTGCCCCTGTGTCCCCTCTTCCCTGGCGCTGCGAGGGAGACCCACCTCAGGTGGGGGCAGTCCGAGCAGCCGGGCCGCTGAGAAGTCCAGGTTGCTGATGGTGGTCACGGTGACCGTGTGGTTGAGGTGGTCGTACTGCACCGGCTCTGTCTTTGCTGTCACCAGCCGATCCAGTTCGTCTGCCTCCTCTGCGCAAGTGGGCACAGAGCCAGGCCTCAGTCCCTGGGCACAAGTAAGCAGGCTCCAGCCACTGCCCCCTGCCCCCAGCCCTGGAGTGCAGTGGCCCCCCTGCTCTATCGGAGGGCATCCAGGAAGCCCCCAGCTCCAGAGCCTGGCCTGCAAATGCTGTAAATGACCCCCAACTCTTCCCTTCATGCTCCAGGGAGACCTCAGACCCCCTGGTCCCCCCCAGGACAAAGCTGGAGCCACACCAGGAGCTGCTGCTTCCCCTACCCCTCCACCCCCAGTCCCTCCAGGCCTCAGAAGCTGGCCTTTCTGCTGATGATCGGTTTACCAAGAGGTTTGGATCTCCTCCTGGTCTCTGATCCACTGACATTTAGAGACAGCTGAGGACTACCCCTGGCTGCCAGGTCACCAAGACCCCTAAAGCAAGGGACGTCAGCTTCTGTGCAGCCCTCACACCCCTCCCCTCCCACCCACCAAGGCATAAATAAACTCAGCCTGTTGGCTATTCTCCAGGACAGGCCAAGGATGGGATTACCCAGCGCCTCCTCTCTCTCTGCCAGCATCTTCAAGTATTCCTGGTGGCGCTGAAACCAAAGGAAAGGGAACATGGTGAGTATGGCCTTTCAGTCCAACCTCAAGCAGAGGCGCTGCTCACCTCCAGGGTGAGTAAGACCATGGCTTGAAGAGAAAGGCCAGGAGATCTCACCCTAAACCTTCCCCAGACCTGGGCCCATGGTGTCTCTATCTGTATAAACTGCTCCCCAAGCCTGCCCACACCTCCCCTCATCCCTGCAGGTGCCCCTTTTCGGGCCATCGAGGCTGCAAGTCCCCTGGGAGTCAGGGACACTCTCCCGCCCTCTCCCTCTGCACCTCCTCCCGGAGCTTCTTCTGCTCCTCCTTGAGCCGCTTCTTGATCTCCTCAATGGCTGCCTTCTTCCGCTCCACCTTCCGCTTGTGGAAGCCTGTCAGGTACTCCCTACAGCAGAGAGGCAAGAAAGAAAGTCAGGATACAAGGAAAGAAGAGCTTGCTCCAGAAAAAGAAAACAAAAACAAAAAACCTAATACTGCACTCACCACATGCCAAGCACCATTCCAAAAATGTACGTTAACTCATGTAATCCTCACAGCAACCTGCGTAGTAGGTACCCATCCCCATTTTACAGATGGGAGACACTGAGGCACAGAAAGGCAAGGTTACTTGCCCAAGGTCACAGACAGTGTAAGGTTAGGG